CCGGCGGACTCGTCTTCGGTGTGGCGAAACGTGCGGCGGTTTCCATGCCGCGGGGGAAAATACGGGAAAACAAACACTATTCAAAAAAGGCGGAAAACAAACATGGGGGAAATGACACTGCTTACTTTCAGTTTTTGTGGGTCTTGCGTTCTGTCGTGGTGCGTAGGAAGCACACAGAGGAATGAATCCATGATAGAGTCTTTAATTATCAAAACAAGAACAAAACACTTGGAAACAGAGGGAGACAAAAACCACGATGTAACTTTAAGGCAATACAAGGTAAATCAAAACAAGAACAAAACACTTGGAAACAGAGGGAGACAACAACCACGATGTAACTTTAAGGCAAGACAAGGTAACTGAGGAAAACACAGGGCTTATAAACACATGGAACGTAATCAGGTAGAACAGAAACAGGTGAGGAGTAATCAATCAAAACAGATGAACAGAATAAACGATGATTTACTAAATGAGAACAGGAACTGAACCAAATAGGGGCAAACAGGAACTAAACAGAAACAAACATGTTACATACATATTATTTCGTTATTTAAAAACTGTTGCTTTAATTATCTTAAACAAAACTGAAAATCACGAAGACCTTTGTCTCAAAATATATGCATTAATTTTTAGCGATTCTCATTTGCTACTTAAATCTACAACATTTTAAAAAACATCAAATATTAGATCAAGTAAGCACAGAATCAACTTTGTGCTGCTGCACGCGATCATGTCAAAGATCAGACAAATAAACACGTGCATCTTGAAAAGCGGATGTTTTGGAAAGTGCTATGCCACGTTTTTTTGTGCCATCTAGTGGTTTAGATGAAAATAATATCAAAGGCGCCTTTTACTCCGGAGTGCCTTTTGCCCCGTTGTACCCTATATGTCAACATATTGCCTAATACAATAAGCATATTTTCACAATTTACAAAGATAAATTGTTCTGCATATACAAATTATAGGATATAAGGACTATTATCACATTAAAGTAAGTTGTTCTTATTCCTACAGTATTATTATAAGATCTCATTTGTTATGCTGTCCCTTTATTAGGCTACAAAATAGGTTTATCGTTGTATTTTACAATTGAAAGTTTATATTAGAGAACATTATTTTTCTCTCTCTCTCTCTCACACACACACATTATTGCGGTATATCTGCCTTCTTTCAGGATATGCATCACAGCGAGCCCTGTAGCATCACTGCTTTTTTGCAGCAGACAACAGTGCTATTTCCTTACAAATACATGCATACTACTTAAGCAACTCTTTCTTTTAAATGCATAATAAATTAATCATAAGTACCAATACATGCTTTAAATACTTAAGTAATTTTTACATCAAATGTTACAATATGTCCACCCTGTTACAGTGCAAAACAGTAACAGGGTGGAGCGCAACAGGAGGGACATTTTATGCTAAAATCAGATCACATGCTAATCATGTGATGAACAAGCTAGTGCATAGTGTTTATTGAGGAAGATTTTTAACCTGTTAATTAAACATATTTTCAAAATTACAAAAAACTTATCAGTTTCCACTAGAGTTAAGCGTAACAGAGTGGACATGTTATGCTTTACCACATCAGTGAAACACTATAAAAAGGGTGAATTAAAGAGTGTTACTGACTCAGCTTCTTGTAAATAGTTCAAAAAGTCGTATACTCAAAAAGTGTTTTACTCCCCGAGAGTCATGTTATTAGAGAAACATTCAAGGGCCATGTTCATAAGGACTTTTCATCAGAGTAACAGGGGGGACATTCAATTCAGGGACACAACATGTTTTAAATACTTAAGCATTAAAAATGTATAAATAACAAAACAAATTTTTGTTGAGGAATATTATAAATAAGAATATACAACAATATTGAAAATTTTGGAATTCGTTTGATTTTTATTACTTATATTTGTGGCTGAAGTTATGAAAGCTAACTTGGGGACATGGCAGTTTAGCCTTCTTGCACTAAAATAGGAGCAATTATTTTTTTATTATTTTTGGGTACATATTTATTGTGTTCTATGTAGAGGGTCAGTAAATTTGTAAGCTGAGCATTTAGAAACAAGTATTAGCAAATTTTTACAGAAAATATACCACATTATATCATGGGGACTCAAATGGCACCGAATGCTAGGAATGACCCATTCAGGTTATCACATGAGCTTAGTTATGCGCCCAACACAATGAACATGGAATTGTGAATTTGTATGCAAAACTTTATTTGATAATAAAAATAGCATTCACAGACTTCTTTTTGATAGCTACATATACATTGTGATCCATCCAAACAAGAAAAAAAGCTTTACTGTGTAAGTCCACGTCTACTTGAACTTATACTAATGTTATGTGTAATTTCACGAGTCAAATAACGCTATGGACAATGCAGAATTTATATATTTATATATATGCATAGTTTCATTAAAAAAAAGACTAGACCATATACATGTACTGCTTTTATCGACACAGAAAAAAAGCATTTAAAATCCATAGAGCTTTTCAGAGACCACAGACAGTATACAAGATCTCCAGAAAAAAAGCAGGCTATCCATCACAACAGATATTCAACCCCCTTCCTTGAAAAACATACGTTTCCCATCCTTCCTGGAGAGAGGGAAAAAATAAAAATTTACATACGCCTGATTCTGAGTACACACGTTACTCATAGTCCCAGTGAGCAGAGTAGAAACATATTCACATCTTCTTTTAGGTGGACATCTTTCATAAATTCTTTTTTGTACAGAGAAAAGGCAACAGTATCCTTACCTACACGGGTTTGAAGTACATACAGTAATAAAATTTGAACAAAAGACAGCAGCCGATACGTTCATTTTGATACAGTACTATTCAGATGAGACTGAAGGAATTCCCTGTTCTTGGTCCTGTCGAAATGCACGAAACAGCTGTGTTCCCAAACAAACACGCATTGCGTCTGTATATCACTGAAGCTCAGTGGCTCTCGAGAGCGTGACGGAAAACGAGTGGTGGCTCAGATTGGCAGATTGTGCCAGGTGCCGTTTTCACGTAGTCTTTTGGATCAGATCTGGCGACCTGAATCTTCCATGCTGCAACTCTACATTCAGCTCAAAATGTGTGCTGCGTCGATGCGTCACATTTATTTTCACAAGCTTGTTAAGGATTCCATTCGTTCAGAGCATTTCAATCGCCTTTGGTACTTGACTTTATGGAGGTAAATGTGGCTGCATAAGGAACAATTCAAAATACTTCAAACTTTTGCTTAAAATGACTGAATTAGAACAGCCTCTCACATTTCATATATTCAGTGTTTTTATATAGTTGAATGTATTAGCTGTGTTCCTGTAGCTCAACTGCTCTGTGGTTTGTTTCCCAAGGAACACACTGACAAACAGGCTGAATGCATTTTAAGTCACTTTTTAAAAAGCATCCGATTCATTCCTAAAATAACTTGCTTTAAGTTTAAGTTTTAAGTTTTCTCAATTGTGCATATGTGCCATTAGACTAAGTTCTGGTGATTATGGAGAAAAAAATATTGTGACACAACATAATATTTTTCTGCCTTAATTTTTTCCCTCTTTTTTGCTAATGGGCGGCTTATGCCTCAGTCCAGTGCAGTGTTAGGACTAACAAAGTCAGATATTATACAACAGACCAAGACAGAATGATGCTTTTTTTTCATCTGGACATCCCACGAGATACATTTCAGTTTTTCAAAATAAATATACAGCTTAAATATATATTACTCAATTAAACAGTAGCATCATAGTCTGAGTTCAGGTTTCGCCACACGTCTATTAAAATGTACAAACAAAGAAACAAATGTTGAATGCTTGTGCTCTGGTTCAGTAAATCTCAATTTGGACACGCAAAGTAGACGCATTTAAAAAAAAAAAAAAAAGAAAAGTCTGTCTTTTAACAAAACATGGATCTCACTCGCAACACAACCTATCAAAACAAACTAGAGAAAGGAGCCTTGTTCCGCTGTGGTGAAGCTCAGCCCTGTGGAGCTCAGATGCGGAGGTCTGCGTGGTTCTCCTTGTAATGTCTTCTCTTGCTCGGAGAGCTCTGAACGAGGCCGAGGTCCACGCCGCTCCCGTTCGCACCGCTGGCTTTCAGTGCGTTGTAATAATCCCTAAGCTGTGGAGCAGCGCCCTCTTCCAAGTAACTTCCGTCACTGCTGCTGTCCGATCTCCTGTGGAAGCATCTTTCTGGGGCTCCGTTGATGAAGTATCCCTGTCTCTCAGCTTGACTGGACGGAGAACTGTTGAGCAGAACGTTCCTGTTCTTTAGGTCACGTTCAGGTGTGCGAGCGAGAGCGTGAGCCGTGGGTTTGTGGGATCGCTCAGGGGTGGATGTGAAGTAGCCCTCTTTGCTGTAGTTCCTGCGGGGACTTTGGGGCTCTTTCTGGGGCCGGACAAGCCTTTCTGGAGTGGAGATCTGGCACAGCAGGTCCTGGGAAGAGTCTTGATAGCTTCGCTCAGGGGACTGATCTTTATATGAGCGTGTCGTTCGCCGGTCCACAGACTTGGCCCTGTGGCAGTCTGGAGAGGTGTTGCGCTTCCGGGTGGAGGAGCGATCCAAGGACCCGCTGCGCACCTGAGACCCCGCGCTACTCTGTGTGTCTACGGAGGGTTTGCGGCCTCGCCTCAGGAGGTCCTGGTTGGAGTTTTTCCTCCCAAATCCACCCTCTTTCCTCAGCGTTTTGAAGAGCTTGGCAATGCTGCTCTCCGACTCTGACTTCTTGACCTTGCGGTGGGAGTTGTTTTTGCTGCTGTCAGGGGATGGCGAGGGGCTGGGACGGTTGTTCCAGGAAGGCTGGTGTGGAGCGCTGGAATACAGCCCTGTTCTGCTGTCCCTCTCTCGTTCTCTCGCCGGATCATGTTGCCTGTCTTTCGGTTGCTGCTGCTGGGGCTGGGATGGTGTGTGATACTCTGATGTATAGCTGGACTCGTACGGATGATGAAAGGGGCCGCTGGCCAGCAAGGCCCTCACTTTCGAATTATTTTGTGGCCTGGGTGAGGGAGGGTAGCTGTCATTTGGGCCGTCTGGAAATGAATAAAGAAAGGCATTACGTTTGGCCACTGAAAACACTCGGCTGTTAACAGTTAAAGACATCCCACAAAACTTGAACAAACAGACAGCACTTGATGTGATCGAGCATAAAAGCAAACATTTCATTCAACAACATCTATACACAAGCAGGCAAAGGTTTGGACACACCTACTTGTGTTTTATTCAATCAAGTCATCGAAACGAATAAACTACATAAGTGGAAACTGACCAAGAAAACGCAAAACTATCTTGTATTTATTTGGGTTTCTGCAAAGTTCTGTACCCAGCTGTGACCTAGATTAAAGCTCTGATTTGTTTCATCTGACCGGGCAGCTGTGGTCACCACCATGAGAACGGCAGAAATCTGTACTGCTTAAGCATGTCATTTACAGACACGGGTGAGATGCAAAATCAGTGCTCCCCAAAAATAGGAGGGGATCGAAAATTGTAGCAAATTGTCAAATATATCATTTGGAGGCATCAACAATGGATAGTATGCTTCTTGCTTCAGGCAACACAGGGTCAAACACTTTTTGGTGTTTCTCATATGTGATCATGTTATACTACAGTTTGGTGGACAAACAGTTTTAGAAAACATCTGTAAAATTAGATTTACAGATGCTTAACATCAAGACCAAGCACACAATTCAGCACACCAATTCTACTGGTTGCTCTCAGGGTAACTCTTCCTAAATGCAAGGGTGATCAGGGTGACTAAAGCTTTCCCCACTAAGAAAGGCATTGCTGTACTGGCTCATTCCCAGATGGGGAACTCCACTCACTATCGATTCCTGAACGGTCAGGATGCATGGAAACCACCTCCAGAGAGGAGATACAGTATATCATAGGTCTAGAACCCAGGTCAGAAAGATGCAGTTTTATTAGTTTCTCTTCAGCTGTAGAATTCTTAGGCAAGAATAGATGGTCATTGTAAATCTGTGCATACTGTACTCCTAAATCATATGGATGCAGTCATGGGCAAGAACCTAGTCTTTTTAGTGCCTTAGGGGCCAAGCTTATGATGAAGAGACGGTGAGTGAGGGCTAACGGGTAGTTTAGACCAACTATAATTCTTGCCACCCGTGGCCTCTATGGCAGCTGTTTAGTTCTGTAAGAGAGTCAAAATATATCCATTTTAACACAGCTTTTAAAACTGATTTCCTGAACAGCTTTATTTTCTTGAATATGCAACTCTGTTTTTTGTGTTTTCATTGAGTTCAAGAAGTTTGCAAAGAGATTCAAGCCTTTTCATAGCGAGGACACGGCATGGCAACAGCCAGCAGCAGACCTCACTCGATTTCCAACCTCCAGACTCTCAGAAGGACAGACTGTAAGGACTTCCCAGCTGGGTGACGACATTCTGAGCTTCAAACGTCACCGTTATAGACACATGTGTCGAGACTGATGGACTTGAAATGGTTGCATCCTATAAGGATGTGCAGTGCTGGGGTGCCCAGGTTCGAGAAGCACTGCTTTAGAGCATACTATGCCATTATGTTGAGACAAGAAAGATATGCCAAGGACAAATGGACAACAGTGTTAACCCTCTGGGGTCGACAAACGCGGATACGCGTTTTGTGGCATCTTCTCCTGATAACACCGAAAAGAATTTAAATTACACTTTCAGTTTTGATCTTACAGATAAGATCAATACATCAATCGAATCTGTAAATGGTCTACTTTTATTTGTATACACACATAATAACAACAAAACTTTGTGCATTTATAAAATAAAGAAAACAAACAGGGTGTACTGTCTGCTGCCTTGGTCTGCGTGATCTTTATTTAGAAACGCGTCATTAAAATGAACTGTAACTCAGCAAATACTCAACAAAGAGACATGAGAGATATATCTATAGAAAGCTTGACATGTCTACTTTTAAACTAAGCAAGTCTTATCGAAAGCAAATATTCTGTGATAAAGTAATCCATATGAAACCAACGTGATGTCCAGTCTTTCACGTCTCCCTTCATTATCTCTAATGCAACCACACCCACGCGCTGAGCGCGCTATAGATATTATAATCATCCACATGAAGCGCGCCGCGTGTAAACGCCCACATCACAGGAAACAAAGCAGCAAGACCTCAAGTTTTACTGTTCGCATCGTGCTGAGAGGAATAAGACAGAATTCACCTCAAGAAGCGTTGGATTACCTCAGGAAAAAACAATGCAGCGGCTTGATCCAGCAGTGATCATAAACATGAGTAAGTCTTTTTTATTAACCTACTTGTATTAGTTTTCACATAACTTCTACACATTTTACTAGTTAGACTTTCTCCAAACTATAATTCCTGACTAAATGTATAATCAAGTGAAACATTATGAAGTTTCATTCACAGCATCTAAATGTCACGATGCCAGGATGT